AACACTCTGCAACATGAAACAGGTGTTTGTATTCTATGCCTGGAATCTATCGGATATTGCCTATCTGAACATGATAAATGTTTAATAGTTACCTTTACAAGATATAGGAAAAAACATTGAGAACTAAAAGTTCTCAGGTTGGATGTCCATAGTCTCTGTCTGGCACACAACTAAAATGAAGAATAATAATAATAAATAATTAATTATAAATCTGATCATTTTAAGTCTTTTCAAAGCAGCTTGACTATCAGAGAATATCATGTCTGTTTCAAGCTATTTTCCTCTTATATAAAACTTTATCTTAATAAGCTTGAAAGCTTTTACTATTGTAAATAGTTCAGTATTGAAGACTTCACATTCACAACTCAAATTTCAGAAATCTGAGATAAAATTAATATTATCTTCAGTATAAGCAATGTCTACATCTAATCTGTTCAAACTCTCATTTTTTAAGTCATCTGAGTAAATCAGTATAGAGTCTTTTATAGTGATTATAGAGATCTTCTTTAAATACTGTTTATATTCTATCTTGTTAAATAGTTCACTTATTTATAAGTCTATAAGAGATTTCAGCTTTTCTCTTCAGAGAGATATCTTCTCATGATTAATTTTCTCAGTATTTAATAAACAAAATTGATTTTTAATCAGTGAATATAATCTATACAGTTGAGAGAATATTTTCTATGATGAATTATTCTCATTTCAATTAAGAAATCTATTTCAATTCAGTTCATTTTCTGAGTTGATTGATAAAAATGAAGAAGAGACTCTTTCTCTGATTATATAATATAAGCTCATCTTCATGACTCTCAGAGTATACTTTATACAGATCTTTTCAAATTGAATAATAGAAAATGAAATTGAAGCTTCAATTTTCATTACTTTAATAGAAGATGATTTAAATATTCTCAGAATTCTTCTCAAAGCTCTGTTTTACAGACTTTGAAAGAGTTCAGTGAAATTATCTTAATTATTTCATCAAACTTGAACTTTATAATCAGCTACTGAGATGATACAAGTTATATATAACTATCTTATAGTCTGAAAGAATAGATCTCTCTCAGTATTTAATAGTCTGATTACACTATTCAGTAGTCTCTCTGCCTTGATGATTCTTTGTTGAATATAATATTTAAAATTCAATTTAGAGTTTAATCATACTTCTAATCATTTGATATTCAAACTGGGTTTAATCTCTTTATTTAAAAGTATTAGACTTAGTTTTTCCTCATTGAATCTGAGAAAAAAGTGAATTAACTCAGTTTTATTCCTATTAAATTGAATTAGATTGATATCTGTTCTAACAAAGATTTTCTTTACTACTTTTTCAATCACTTCTAAATTCTTATCAATTATCTTTAAACTGTAGATTAGATCAATATCATCTATATAATTTGAAAATCTCACTATTTTCATCTCTCTATTCTTGAAAAGATATGCAGTGTATATTGCAAATAAAACAGATAAGATTGAAGATTCTTATGATACTTCTATTTTTATCTCAGTTTTATCTTGTTATTTCATCAAAGAATACTTATATGATTCTTTTAGATATAAAACAGTTAACTCATTTTATTAGAGAAAGTGACAGTTTTAATATCATTAAAGTTTGAATTATCTTAGACTTTGAAACATGATTCAATGTATCTTTTATATCAATAAAAACTGCAGTTGAGACCAGGTCTTCATACTTTGCTACTTGAATGTTATAAATAACTGAAAGAACAGTGTTAATTGCAGAATACTGTTTTCTATCTCTCATTTATTCATTAAATACAAGAGAATCACTAATAGAGCTTATAAAAGATAATCTAGTAGCTATTATCTTTTCTAGAATTTTTTTCAAACAGTTCAACAGAGATATTACTCTATATAACTTAGAAATTAAAGCTGTTCTATTAGATTTTGCAAGGACTACTTCAGTAGCTTCTCTTCAGTATTCAGAATGATAATCATTTTTGAAGAGACTGCAAAAGAGCTCAAAATATTCATTCTTCAAGTAGAAATATGTGTTTTGAATAATTAATTGATTAATTGAATCAGGCCCTGCAGCAGTTTTAATTGAACTTGAGAATATAGCTGACTCTAGTGCATCATGTATAAGCTCAGATCATTCTTAGTTATTTTTATCAATATATTTATGAAATGATATATTCTTCTCTTCTAAATATAATAAGTTTTGAAAGAGAATTCTTATAAAAGCTTGACACTGTTTCTTAAAAGAGTTTACTGTATATGATTCATTCTGAAATTCATATTCTAAGATTGAAAGCTTTTCTATACTTCTTGTTTTAATATAGTTGAAGGCTTTAAAAACTTTTTTTTCTTATACTTCTTTAAGAAATTTGTTTCAGCAGTCTGTTTTGACTCTTTTAATATCTGAAAAATATTCATTTCATAATGCTTTGAACTCTTTATCAGATATTAAGTTATTCTTTTAATCTCTCTGAGTAGTGACTAATTATTGTCTTTTAGAAGTGATATTCTCATTTCATTAAGATTTAAAATACTCAGAAGACTTTTTCTTTGAAATATTTTCTCTAATACTTGTTAGAAGAATAGATGTAATCAGCTTTACTCTATTCTCAAGTATTTCATTTGAGATATCTTGACTCTGATTTCAATAGAGCTTACTCTACTTTTCAGATTTCAGCTGCATTACACTTTTCTCAACTACTTTTCAATCAGCTTTTTCAATGTGATACTGATTAGAGAGAAGAGGATTTTCACTCATTTATTTTTCACTCAGTTTAATATCAAATTGAATAATCTTATGATCTGATTCTAAGGTTGTATTTAAATCTATAAACCAGTTTATAAGTCTTTGTTTCAATTAGATTTTATGATATGAAAGTTAAATCTATAATAGATTTCTGTTTCATATCTTTTCTAAAGAATGTTTATTGATCAGACAGCGAATCCGCTCCACCACGAACTCGCTCGACTTTTCGAATAAGAACCCGCCGATAGATCCATCGAAAAGCCCTCGATCATACGAGCATTTTGACCCCATCACCGACCGCATACCCCGTGTGGTGGTGGAGTTATCCAGCCAAACGTGAACCAGATGTTGTTCGAAACTCCTGTGTGGGATTATCCCCCATTCTCCCCTACCACACCACAACCCCGGGCCAAATTGCCATACAAATTGTAAGGTGAAGAGACCTAGCCATATGCGCCAATCTTCTCGATTTTGGAAGATCCCTGATCTGTAATTGTGGAGATATCTGAGAAGTGATCTCCGCGAAAACCCTGTCCATCTTTGATGTTTCAAAACACCAACACCAAGTCCCACCCTCATACCGCCCTTCTCAATCTGGCCCATCCCCAGCAGAAAAATACAAAAAGATATCTCAGTGATAATATCAAGCACATAATCAACAGACACTTCTGAAGTGCAACCTCCACAGTCTGTCTTCAGTGTATCTAGACATCAACACCAAGTCTCACCCTTGTACTACCTCTCTCAATCTGGCCCATCCCCGGCAGAACAATACAAAAAGATACCTTGACAACAGTATTTGATACATAACTAGCAGACAATGAGTTAACAGAACAAGTCAACAGCACATCAACAACTATAAATTCTGTATATCTTAAGATCTGACTGAGTCTTTGATCCCTGCACAGTGAGATATATTAAATCTAGTTTTAATATCTCAATATTCAATAGATTCTGCAAGAGATTGAGAACAGCAATACTAGATTTCTATTGAATTTAAGAATTAACTCTATATTGATATAATCATTGACAAAGTCTTCTATTTTGAGATATAAATAATCAGTTCCTCTACATCTCACTGACAATATTTATATTATTATATAGAAACAGACTTATATTCACTATAATATCAAGACTCTGAAGAGGAAAAGTCTTGATAGAGAGTATACAGTAGTGCATATCTTAGCAGTTTCTATCTCATTCTTCTACAGCAGTTAATATAAAAAAAAGATCTTAGAAATAGTTTTTTACTTCTCTTGAAAAAGTAAGATGTTTTTCTCTGAATTTTACACAATATTCTCATAAAGAATTAAAAACAGAGCTGTTTTCTATCATAATTTCATATTCTTTTAAGTAAGAATTACTTTTTCAGTGACTGAAGAGCTTTCATTAATACTTAATTCTTTTTTATACTCTTTATTAACTGATTTGAGTTGCATACTTGTTGTGTGAGAAGAATTGAATAATTTAGAATAAAATTGAATAGTTTTAATCAATTTCTCTACAAAAAATTGATTTATTTTTTATGAGTTTTTCTCTCAAAAACTGTCATATTATCTGATTTACTATTAATTAATATCATACTTTTTCTCACTGTATCTCAAGAAAGAGATTGTAAAGATTTTATTGATTTATCTCAAAAATCAATTTTAGTTTATTAGATTCTCTTCAAAAATCTAACCTAGTTACTGAACTAGTGTGAAAAAAATCAGGTGTTTTATATATAAAAGTCTTTTATTCTTCTTTTGAAATAGTCTAATCAACTTTTCAATTGAAAACAGACTTAGAAACCTCTTAATTGAAACAGTCTGACCAACTTTTCAAAAGAGTTTAATACATATCTCAATTGAAACAGTCTGATCAACTTTTCATTGAGTCAGAACAATGAGTTCAAAAATACACTCAGTTGATGTGGAAAAAGATGCTTTCTCAAATGCTATTTCTGAGATTGAAATTCTGAAGAGAAGAAAGAAAGAAGAAATAGAGAAATAATAAGTTCTTGAAATACAGAAACTTGAAAAAGCAAGCAAGGTTCTTGAAAAGTAGTATCTGAGTGAGATGAATGAAGAAGTTCTGTTAATTCTTCATGCTCAGGCTAGACAACTACAGAAGATGATCAAGTTCAAACTTGGAATTTCAAACATAGTTTAAAAAACATTGAAAATTCTTAGTACAATTACTGACTTCTCATCTTACTCTTCTTTCTCTTTTTCTACTTCTTCTTCTTCTTTGAATCAGAAGAAAACATATTCTCAAGCAGCTGAATCTGCTGTCTCTAAACCTGCTATCTCAAAATATGCTTAAAATCCTGAGAAAACTGAGAAGAATAATACTCATTCTTCTATTCATAGAAAAGTGAAGAAAAAAATGCAAAAGAAGAAAAATCTTTAAATCTTCAGAAATAAAAGACTTATTCTCAAAGTCTTAAATCAGAATATCTTACAAAGAAACAATCTAAACTCAAATCTCATTTTCAGAATCAGAAATGAAATTAATCAGCAGTTTTTTTCTCAGGTAATAACTGATATTGAAGTTCAAAAATCAGTTATAGCTTCAATTGAGTCATTCTTCTTTGAAAACTCTATCATTCTGACTACAATGCCTGAATTCAGTGCAGAATTCCTTATTCAGAATGAGAATCTCTGAAAATTAGCAGTAGAATCTTTGTTAAACATAATAATTCTATCTGAGAGAGATGAAAAGTGAGACAAATTCATTCTTTATAATATTTCAGTTGAAATTTTTGACTGTGAAGAAGAAATACTACTTCTTAAAAATGAATTAGAAGAATACAACTCTATTCAACTGAGAAAAGAGTCTGTATAACTAAATTCAATTGAGTTCAGACAAAGCAGAAGAAATGCCTCTATTCTAGTATATACAAAGACACTTGAACAGTCAAAGATCTCTGAAGTAAGAGTAGCAGATTTGAAAATGAGAGTTCATGAATACAAAGACTCAAGAATGAATCTCAAAGCTCAAACACAGTGTTCAAACTGTCAAAGATATGAACACTTTGCAATCTTCTATTTCAGAGACTCAAAATATGCATTCTGTGTCAGAGATCACAAAACTAGTGAGTATAAATGTGAAACATGCTTAAAAAGAGATGAAATATGTCAACACACTCTGCTTAAATGCTCTAATTACAAAGAAAAACATGTATCTAGCTCAAAAGAATGTATGTTTACTTCAAGAACTCAAAAGAACTGAAGAAAAGATGAAGCTCAAAGTAAATCTAGAACTGAAGAGAATAGTTAAGCCAGTAAACTCACAACTGCAAGCTTGAAAAGAAGAAACTCTCAACTATCTAAATCTTCAAACTTCAATTCTCCAGCTAAATGTAAACAGAATTTGAATTCTCAAACTTCTGTTAAGATTAGAGAACTGAGAAATGACTCTGATGATAAACTAGATATAATGTAAGCAGTTGAGATTTCTACTTTTCAAAATAGTTATAATCTACTATCTGATAATAGTGATTAGATTCTACTCTACTCTCTTTTAGTATGAATATACAATAAAAATAACAAAAAAAGTTTAAAAACTCTTTAAAAATTACATTTATTCAAAATAATGTGAATAGAATCTTAAATTACATTTATTCTTATCTTCAAATTGTATTTGAATAAAAAGTTGATTTTATACTGCTTCAGGAGCTGAATCTTAATATTGAGTAAAAATATGTCATTTCTTATTCAAGCTACTACTGCTTTATACCTCAAAAGTCTGAGATAAAGTCAAGAGTAGTGATCTATAAAAGAAAGAGATCAAGATATTAATTTAATCTAAGATTTGATATCATGTCTGGCTCTGATATTCTGATGAGTGATATTATAGATAAAGAGAATAAGTTTAATACTATACAGCTTATAAATATCTATAATGAAAAGTCATTGAAGAAAAATAATAACATCTGAATAATTAATAGAGAGTTTCTGAACATAACTTCATCAAGAAACTCTATAATTGCAGGAGATTTCAATGCACATCATTTCTGATGAAATTCAGAATGTAAAAGAGCAGTAAAAGCTGATAATATAATTGAATGAATCTTTAAGCATTCAATAGATTTAGTTAACAAGTCTGATCAATAAACATTGTTTAGAAAAGACATGAAACAGAAATCTATTATAGATCTAATCTTTATGTCACAAAATCTAATGAAAAAAAGACTTGTAAACTGATTTATTGATTCAAATGAGATATCAGAATCATGTCATGAGATTATTCAATTTAATATTGAACTGAGTGAGAAATAAATGAGTGAAAATTCTCTTCTCTCTAATCAGTTTAACTTTGAAAAGGCCGACTGAAAGACAGTTGAAGAAAGCATAAAACTGTTAAAATGTGAAAGATAGAGTGAGCTATATTGAAATCCTGGTCAAGATATCTCAAATGAAATGCTTGAGAATAGAGTGAAGCTCATTACATCTATTATTCTAGTAAGTGTTAAAGATAATATTTCAAAGAGAAAGTCTTCTGAGTATTTAAAACCTTAGTGAAATGAGAATATCACATCTAAAAGAAAACAATTGACTACTGCTAGAAGAGATTGAAAGAATGATATAATTTCTGATAAAGAGATCAAAGCTGTCAGAAATGAATATTTTTCAGATATTAAAAGAGTTAAAACAGACTGCTAAAATAAGCTTCTTGAAGAAGTATAAGAAATGAAAGTTTTTAAAGCTTTTAACTATACTAAAACAAGAAGTGTAGCAAAACTTTCAATCTTAGAATATGAGTTTCAGAATGAATCATATACAGCAAACTCTTTTGAGAAAAAATGTCAAGCTTTTATAAGAAGTCTCTTTTAAAACTCATCAGATTCAGATTCAGAGAAAGAGAATATATCACTTCTTAACTATATTAATGAAAATGACTGGGAATGATCTGATCTTACTCAAGATAAATTAAAGTCAGCTATCTTCTCAAGTTCAGTTAAAACTGCTGCAGGACCTGATTCAATTAATCACTTGATTATTCAAAATACATACTTCTACTTCAAGAATGAATATTTTGAGCTCTTTTTCAATCTCTTGAAAAATGAATATCATTCTGAATGTTGAAGAGAAGCCACTGAAGTGATTCTTGTAAAATCTAATAGAAAAACTTCAATTCTCAAGTCATATAGAGTAATATCTCTATTGAACTGTCTAGAAAAGGTTTTAGAAAAGATAATAGCTACTTGACTATCTTTTATAAACTCTATCAGTAATTCTCTGTTATTCAGTGAATAAATAAGACATAGAAAACAGTGTTCTGCAATTGACACTGTTCTCTGAGTTATTCATGATATTCAGATAGCAAAGTATGAAGATCTGGTCTCAACTGCAGTTTTTATTGATATAATGAAAGCATTTGATCATGTTTTAAAGTCAAAGTTAATTCAGACTTTGAAGATATTAAAACTGTCACTTTCTCTAATAAAATGAGTTAACTGTTTTATATCTAAAAGAATTATACAACTTTTCTTTGATGAAATAAAATAAGACAAGACTGAGATAAAAATAGTAGTATCATAAGAATCTTCAATCTCACTCATTTTATTTGCAATATACACTGCATATCTATTCAAAAATAGAAATATAAGAATAGTGTGATCTTTGAGTTATATGAATGATATTAATCTAGTCTACAGCTTAAAAACTATCAAAGAGAATTTGAAAGTGATTGAAGAAGCTGTAAAGAAAATCTTTATTAGAGCAGATATCAATTAAATTCAACT